TTAAGACAGCAATATGACAAATAAACAAATGACAAAACAATGACAAAAAAAACAACAAAAACTGAGGGCTTAAATAGAGCAAAAAACAGGTACAGGCTATAGGCTAAACAATGAGAAGCATGTTAATGGGATTTACTAAATAACTGGGGGCAATTAACAGAGGCAAAAATGGGAAAACACAAGTAAGAACTTGTCCAATAAAATTATAGCATGGTTAGATAGCAACAATGAGAAGTACACAAAAAATAACATGAAATATTTGGCAACAGTGAACATAAGAAAATTAACCAATATTAGGATATGTTTCTAATGTTCACTGTTGCAAAATATTTTTAGGTCCAAATAACAAAAACAACAGAATATTGCAAAAACTGTCAAACTAATTAAATAACGAGAGTCCCGGAAAGCCCTGAATCCAAAATGAAAATCATAATGTATAACCAAGAGATTAGATTTCACTTTGTGTTCTGTTTACTTCATGTATTTTAGTTGCTCCTATTTCTGTCTCTTGGTTAACTTTTAGTTTAAACATGGATTAAATCAGGTTTTGATCTGATATGGTTCTTATTTATTAATGGTTCCTTTGCTTCCCTTGTTCTCTGTTCTGTCAGCCATATTATATCCTGTTTCCTCTATTCATCTTCAGTTACTTCCTTTGTGTCACAGATGCACCCTGTTACTAATCAACCACCTGCTCCTCGTTGAGTATTCACCTTTTCGTCGTAAATCTCTCCCAACTGATCAGCTTTACTCTTTCATCTACTTTCCTACTGTTTCTTTCACCATTTAGGTTTTTCACTTCACTCCTCTGACATCAGCAGGCTGGCATTAGTAAGTTTATTTCATTATCTTCTGTGTGTGCATTTTATATAATTTTGTCTTTCACTTGCATATTTCATACATTCCCTCTCTGTATTTGTATATATATCAGATCAGTCTGGTTAGAAATCCCTTTATGTAGGTTACAGTAGACACTTGCAGATACTCAAATAACAAACAAACTAACTAAAAAGGTGACATTATATGCTAAATGTTTGAAAATATTGCAAAAATAAAATAAAACTAATCCACAGGCGGCACCAAGAGGAATTAGTGTGATGTTCCTGGTACATATTTCTTACTGCCTGGTAACCCAACAGAAAAACAAAACAAAACCCCAGATTGGGGATTTCCAGCACTAAATCAACTGCAAATACATCCTACTGCAGGAATTAGATACAATAATCTCCAGAGCAGCAAAATGTAGTGGAGGATCAATGTGTGCTGGGCATAAATGCCAACTCAATCCACTGATGGAGCAGGGTAGGTACAATACAGAAAAAATACAGAAAAACTTCTCATAATCTGTATTTTCTGGCAGATCAGAGCATAAATAGAAACTTCAGGGGGAAATAGAGTTATTGTCCTGGGCATAATGTCCTTTAGGTATGCCAAAACAATCTCCCAAAAGGTAAATTCGCTTGTAGAGAAAAGGAATGCTCCATTCTAATCATTGTAGTATTAAAAATCATAATTTTGGTCCTTGAAATGAGCGCAGTGCAACATTTTTCAAACTTTCAAAACAGATGAATAACAGCTAGGTCCAACAGGGGGTTACATCAAAGGTTCTGTCACCATGAATTAGATAAATGGACATACTATTTAAACAAAGCTGCAAAGTTCTCAGTGGAAACACATTATCTTCTCTTTAGCTCTGTTGAAAACGATGTTTTCACTGTTTAGAGTCTGTTGCTAACCCAGTCATGAATCCCTGATGTGCTTTTGTGATTGTTTGGGTTGCTACATCACGTAATTCTCTGTCATCTAATAGCTCTATGCTGTAGGATTACTTCCTGCTAAATTTAAATGATCAGCTCACTGTATACTGGCGGTGTCCCAGGTTGATATCACTGAGCTTCATTCATACAAGAAGCCTATTTAAAAACTGGCATAAAAGCTCCATTGAAGACTGGATTGGAACATTCATTACATCTTAACCTAATTGAACATCCGTGCATTAAGTGAGCAGCCGCTTGCAGCCTTCATCACTGAATTTAAATGACTCTAAACCTTCTAGAAATACTCATGACTCTCTTTCTGTAATTGCTGCAAACACTGATTTCCCCTCAGCTTCAGATAAGTGAAGTATTAACAGGAGATACTGTCCTTTTGGGATAATTGTTAACATTTTACATACTGAAGCTATCACTAAAGTATGTAGATGGCTGAAAACTACTTGGCCGTTACTGCTATTAAAAAACACAGTGGACTGTGTTATCACACTTTGTTAATCATGTGTGAAACTCAATAGAAAACATACGTATATAACCCAAAGTGGAAGTGTCCGTTTCCTGATCTTGCACTCACTAAGAATCAGTGAAAGAACAACAAAGACAGAGGTGTCACCTTTAATTAACATTTCCTAGCTTTAAATGATCCACTCTCTCATTATTCTGCTGACTAAGTCCAGCTTCACCCGACTGGGCTTGGCTGCTCCTGGCCGGCCGACAACACATGTGGTACAATTAGCCTTGGCTTCATTGTGCACATGTGTTTGGTTTCTGAAGCATTTTGGTTATTTCTAACCAGAGACCGGAAAAACCCCAAACAGGAGTCATAAGGTCAAACCGAAGACTTTTATGTTTTATGTTTAATTGGTGGCAGTTAAGATGATGCATTCTGGGAGTCAGGGGACAAGTTCATGAGTGAATGGGGGATGTTTCTGCATGATGTGACTTGTGTACCGTCCTTACTCACTTCCATCAGAAAAACAACTTGTATAGACTGTTTATTTCCTACAGCTGTGAAGGCAGTCATTTCCATTTAGTCAGACACACATTTCATCCCATCACATTGGACTGGGTATTTCTATTCTGTGGTGTATTTTATTCTATTCCTTTTGCTGTATGTTTTTTTTTTTCTTGATGAAACATATGAAACCAGTCCTTACAGTGAGTATTATATGTATGTGAACACATGGTACAAAACCTCCTTTGACAATATTTGCTGGTAACATATTAATCTGATCTCCAAATAGCTCAAGTTGCTTAAGTGAGTCAGAAATCTTACTGAACTTGATACTTAAAAAGAATTATATTTAAGTTAAAGTGAAAGGTGTGGTACATTAAAACTACTAAGTAAATTTATTTTTATTTTTTTAATGTTACTTTATTAAACATAACTGAGTAACTGTTACTAATCACCTCTGCTTCTATTGATACAGTAAAATTGCTCAGTTTTAGATGAAAACAGGGCCTCATACGATATTTTCATATTCTTGTTGTGAATTTCTCTTATATTCTCTCCTACCTTAATGCAGTCCACCTGTGCATAAGTGAACGTGCAAGAAATCTGCATAGTTACCGCCCCGATAATGCCATATAAGGTTATGACTTCCCATGCTTTTGAAAGGTGTCATTCACAAAAAAGGAAACGGAAACGAAAAACATTACTGGTTTGGAGATTGAAGTTTAGCTGACTGAGAGCTGAGCAGCAAAATTAAAGGATCAGTAAAAAGTAAATGGCGTCTCCTGTTACAACAGTAAAAAGAAAAGAAAAAATTATTTCATTCAATAATTGTGGCAAAAACATGTCTAGAAAAAGCAATGTGGTCAATGAAAATTACTGATGGAGGCAAGAGGTGCATAATATGATGTAAATGCTTAATATGAGTTCGCCATCAACTAAAATGACAACATGTTTCAAATGTCTCCAGACCAAATACATACTCTCATATACAGTACAATGCACAATAAAAATGTTAACAACAAAACTCTAATACGATGAATTCAGACAAACTCACATCCAAACTTTGTTCAATACCAAAGCCAACGAGCTGTCATCAAGTGAAAACTCTTACTTTTAGAAGAGTTTCAAGCTGAACCTCCTTTCTGAACTTTCTATCCATTTTCTTTTCCAGATATTATTTCAACAGTAGCTTGATCTCACGTAGAACTCACTGACTTTTATTACCTTTGACAAAATTATAACAAATTGATTTGGTGTCCCCTGGCTAACAACAGCTGAAGGTGTAATGATCGCTAGTTCTGAAATGAGCGAATAACAATGTAATTTATATAAGCACAGCTGCATAATATATAATGATATAGACTAATAAAATGAACAAATGCTTCTAAGTAATAACCATTTTAGTAAAATAGTGAAAAACTAGGTTTGGATAACAACTGACTAATTGTGGAAGACTCCTATTTCTGGTCTGGAGGACTAGCAATATTTGTTCGTAACAGAAATAAGATTAGAAAAGTGGTGATTGTGTCATTTTTTTTACTTAGTCACCTATTTGTTTGCATTAATGCTTATTGCACAAGGTCCAATGTGTTTTATGGTTAGATTAAAATTATTTTTTGGGGGGTTAAGTGTTGCCTAAGGAATTTTTTTTAATGATGAAACACAAATTCTCTTAATATAAGAAATCAAATGTTAGCTAATAAATTTACTAATGTTGTACATTAAACTTTGCATGGTCTGAAAAAGGGTTGTTTTCATGTCAGCTTTCAGGTAGAAAAACATAAAACATATACAAAGTAACCATAGTTTTGATTAGTATATTATTTAAATGGTAAAAAGAACCATAAAAAGTGGCTCAATAATGAGAAAAAGTCACAGATAGAGTTCCCCTGTTGCCTCAGAGAGTGCAGCTTGCAACCACTGATTTTAAACATGAATCCTGCTCTTGCTGGTTTGGCCAAAACACCAAAGATCCTGATACATTCAAAGAAAAAGAATCAAGGCAAGAAAATTAAGCCTAAAACAAATATTCTTAATTCTGTTAACCTTACTCATCAGACAAGCTTGCAGTGATTTTACAGAAATAAAGTCCCAACCCATCACATGTCATAGCTTAGTTTCCTTTCTGACCAAAACAACAGTGAATGCAGCCAAATATGTGTTTGTGATGTCAGATCCTGGATCTGCTCTACTCAGAGTGGAGGAGCAGGTCTGCTGGAGATGGATCTGCAGCACACCGCGAATAGCAAACAGAGAAAAACAGAGCAGACCGTCTCTATCTGGGAGCTTCCAGCAGCAGGGGATGGAGACCCCTTAAAAACAGATTGAGAATATCACGCACATTAAAAACATTCAAAAATTCAGATGTTTTCCATCGCAGATCCTCCACCCAGCAGGGACCTGTGGAGCTCATAGAATGACATCAGAAAGAGAAGAGGAGGAGAGGGAGGACAAATTCTTGAAGTATGAGAAAACTTTACTGCTCTCCTCCTTCCCTCCTCTTCCTCGGTTCTTTCTTTTCTTTCTTTTTCTCCTTCTATCCATCCCCCTCCTCCTGCCGGTCAGTCAAAGAGAGAACCCCACAGGAACAAGCAAATAGGCTTCTGGACAGCTTCTGACAATCTCTTTACATCTCCTAGCAGGTAAGATGCTTTTTTCTTATCTCTTTAAATTTATTTTGATTTAATTTGAATTTATAATGTTACAATTTAATTATATGGCCCTCATAATAATAGCTGATTTCCAGACCTATAAAGATTTTACAATTAACTTCATTATGCCTCATTCAAATATTCATAACTTGTTCTCATGATTAAAGATTTGAAATAAACTCAATTTGAATTTCTCCTTTCAAAATAAGGAAAACAAACATTTTTTTTAGAAAAGATTTTAAAAATGCTCGATGTAAAAATGCTATTTGATTGCAAATGAAAAAGAAAATTGTGATTTATCTTATAACTGACAAAACAATCAGCTAACTGTGAACCAGGCTATTATTTCTTAATGATAGATTAAATAATATTGAAGCATATAATCATTTTACTAAAGGTGAAAATCATGTTAACACTTTAACTTTATTTACTTTTCCATGCAAAAAATGCTGTAGGAAATGGTCCTTTACCTAAACTTAAAATGTATTATTGCACCTTTTCTCCTGATAATAAAGAGAACTGATTTAATCCCTAAGTTTAATAAAAAAATACTGCAAACCAAAAGAAAGGAATGCTGTTTTTGATTTAGCCTAGATGAGGTGAGAAATACAGCTTCATGTTGGGATTTCTTTGGCTCTTTATGGTTTTATGTAGTGTTCATGAGTTTGGTCTGTGGAGGTGTTTGCCTTTTTGCCCTGTGATGGATTTCACAGACTTCAGAATCAGTGTGACCAAGAGTAGCTAAAGAAACCAGATCATCATCATCATCCATATTTGGACAGAAGGAAACTATGCATGTTGATTGTTTTCTTTACCATCCCCATATACTTTTATTTACATCTGAGGTGTCATGATCTCTATGTGCTTTTGGCCCTTTTCCACATTAGATGAATGGATTTCACTAACCCAAGTAAGTTAGGGTCAAACACATAGCTGTAGTAGAATATGTAATCAGTTATTGACTCTTTGACACTCCACCCCTGGGGTGTACCACTCCAAAAATTACAGTCATGGGATCTAGAGCAACTCCTTTTTTATTTTAGGACTGAATTAATATTAAAGGTAAAGAGGAGGGTTTTCACAAATTTTTGAAAAGACCCGTCCTCTCCATTATATAAAAAAAAAAAAAAAAAAAATGCACAAACACAACCCTGTACCTGCTTCCGAGAGGGAACGTTTATTAAACGCGTGCGAGAGCATGCACGAGCCTATTTCTCCTCATGCACGCTCTGTTTAAAAGTTGCTGGTTGTACCGCTCCTACAAGCTGACTTTCCAAAAGCAGATTTGCAATTTTTCCACTTTGTCTGACTTCACCGACGGTAAGTGAAAATGGGGATGAGCACGTAGGATGGTGTTACAAAAACATATAAACAGAATGATTGACAATTAGGAGGACCACTTAGTTTGAAAAAGAACTATATCTTTAATTAAAGATTTCCAGCCGGAAGCAATGTAAACATGAGTATAACTAAAACCTTAGTGTCAGGGTGGCAGAGGCTTTGCGACGATGAAGAGACTTGGGGTCCTCGTGAAAATATTTAGCTAATTTGGTGTTGGTTCAATGAGAGAGATTTTAAAGCTAGATTAATCTGTCTGATATTCATGAGGTGGATGTTCTATTTATACTTTTTATTTCAGATGTCACCAGTTATCTACGTTCTTAAATCTTGGTCTCTCTGTGTTTCAAGAAGAAGTAGTGCTCGATATTTTATGTATTGAATGATGACATGTAACTGGAAAACATGTCCTCAATAATGTGACTTAAAGGAGAAGTCTGGTCATATTCAGAATTCAAACTTCTGAAAGTACTTTAAATGTGAAATTAATGCATACTGTTCAATAAATGATAAGTGTTTTTATTTAAGAGTAATTTTCATTTTAATATGCTATACTGGAGGCATCTATGTTTGTAAAAGACCACTGGTAGTATTGAGGACCATGATAAAGTCCCCAACAAAAATCAAGGGGTGTGTGGCCGAGTTGTGAAGCAGCAGAGACTTCCAGACCTCTCTCTCCTCTGACAGCTCCTCCAGCTCTTCTTGGAGAAGCCCTAGTCCCTCCCAGGCCAGCTGAGAGACATAGTCCCTCCATTATGTTCTAGGTCCTCCCCTGGGCCTCCTCCCGGTGGGACGTGCCTTGAACAGCTCCAAAGGAATAGTCAAGGGGACATCCTGAATAGATGTCCAAGCCACCTCAGATGACTCCTCTTGATGTGAAGGAGAAGCAGCTCCATTCTGAGCCTCTCCAGGATGACCGAGCTCCTCTCCCTATCTCTATGGGAATGCTCAGCCACCCTGCACAGAAAGCTCATTGTAGCCTCTTTTATAAGGGATATTATTCCTTTTGTCAAAATCTAGATTTCGTGGCAAAAGGGGAGGGTAGGAACGTAGACCGAAAAATTTACCAAAAATTTACCATCTCCCACTTATCCCATCAGGGTTGGGTTGGGGCCAGTGGTGGGGTACTCTCTGGACAGGTCACCAGTCTGTCACCGCGCAACACAGAGACATACAATCATGCACTCACAATCACACATAAAGACAATTTAGAGAAGCTATTTTACTTAACAGTTAGGTTTTTGTACTGTGGGAGGAAGCCTGAGTACCCAGAAGGGTTTCAATACATGCACAGGGAGAAGATATGCACAGGGAGAAGAACTCCATGGAGAAGAACTCCATGGAGAAGAACTCCATGGAGAAAGGCCCTGGTTAGGGAATTAACCCACTTCCTTATAGCTTTAATGCAACAGTGCTACCCATGCAGCACGGTTCTAACCCACTAACCCACATTGGGACGAACTGTCCCATCCATCCATTTTCTGTCACGCTTATCCCAAGCGGAATCGTGAGGGGTGCTGGTGCCTATCTCCAGCTGTCTATGGGTGAAAAAGCTGAACAGATTAGTTTCAGAGCTGTCCAGGGGTACACCCTGTCACCCCGTCAGTCCATCGCAGGGCAACACAGAGACAAACAACCATACACGCACACACTCACACCTAAGGAGAATTTAGAGAAGCCAATTAACCTAACAGTCATGTTTTTGGACTGTGGGAGGAAGCCGGTGTACCTGGAGAGAACCCAAGCATGCACAGAGAAGACAAGCAAACTCCTTGCTGCAATGCAGCAGTGCTACCCACTGTGCCACTGGTAGCCCACCAACTGTCTCATTTAGGAAGTTTTCACTAACTTAAACTATTGGGAGCAACCAATTTTACCATTGTAGTTTGGTTTCTGCAAATTGTACATTTTTACCCTTTAAAGTATGTGCACCCCCATATTTTGAATTTATTTTAGGGTGGTACATCCAAGTTACTTTCTTTAATTTAATATCTTTTGGATGATGATGACTGTGGACAGATGTGTACTCTGCAAAAACATGACCTCCACTTTCAGGTTGTTTAGATGCTAGAGTAAATTACTTTTCTTCACTGAATGGTTGAGTTCCCTAACATTCCAACAAATAAAATTTGGTCTATTCATGTCATTCACGGAGCCCATCTGGTAATCAACAAATAGGCAAAGTCTAAATACATGTATGCTGTGATGCATCAGCTCTATCCCTGAAAGGATAAAGAAATAATAAGAAAATAGAAGAAAGAAATACATAACAGAAAACAATACAAGATGAAAAGAATTAAATAAAACAATGAAATCCCGTCTCCAGGGAAACCACCCCCTGCCGGTCTTTCCCCAGCTGAGAAACTGCACCCACCATGCCTCCCAAGCCACTGTGAAGCAATGGATACAAATCTTACCCAGTGAAGCTAAAACCTAATATTTATCTATTTCGTTTAGCAGCTACAAACACAAAAATCAACAAGAACCATATGTTAAACAGTTCATCCAAATGAACACATAGAATTCCTACTGGAAAAGCTGGCATTTCAAAGGCTTAACAATCAGTTATTGATATAAGAAAATAATAAAGTAAAAAAAGATAAATAGAACAAAAGATGAACAAAGCTTAGAGCGCAGTATATTTACATAGCACCAGCAATAACTGTATCCAGTGGCCAATTATCGAATAAAAGCCATCTGACAACTAACAATGCCACAAGTCTCTAAATAAAAGTTGTTGCTGTCATTGGGTCAGTGCAGATCTTTTGTTCACCATCCATGTTTGTGATGAACAATCTTGCTTAGTAAAAAAGTTCAACAGCCCTCATTAAGAGCAAGCAACCAACTAGATATAGCAGGCTGGATGGGTAAACTGATGGATGTTTAGTGGATAGATAAACAGACTGATCTTACTTCATTACCAAGAAGCAGGTATTTGTATTTAAGGACTCCGTTAACATGAGAAAACACACTAAATCAGTGAAATAGATTGAGTGAGTGAGTGGAGAACTTGCTCACAAATATTTTACTTTAAACTGATTCCTTACACTGTGCCTCTGTTTTTGTTATGTTTTTTTGGCAAACAAGCATCCCCTAAGGGAATGCCAAAAGTATTATTTGAAAGATGATTTTATTGACAAAGGTAATTGAAACCAGGGTGGCCCAATAAGGAAAGGATGAGTTTCTTTTTTCAACTGGGAATCTACTAAATCAAATTTTTTATGATTTCTTTAGCAAGACCTGATATTTGCCAGACCCATAGAAAAGAAGAAGAAAAAAAAACAAAAAAACCCCACAACTGAACTTGTTTCCCAACATGAAGTAGGCTCCTAGTCCTACGATACAACAATCATGCCTGGATCTCAATAAAGTTCAAGAGACATCTGGGAAGGGTTTCCAAAAGCCTTCCTTAGGGTTTGGAACTACAGAGAACCACAGAGAGAGCCATAATCTGCAAATGCAGAGAGCATATTGATAATTGTTCCAAGGGTGGCCTGCCAACCAAATTTACTCCCAATCTAACTTGAACCAACCCCAATTATGAAAAAATAATCTGGGTATGATTCACAAGAGTTCTGAGAAATTAATCTTTGGACAGTCCACAGCAAAGTGAAACCTTTTGCGACATGTACATCAGGTTAGATACTGTATGG